AAACACACCTCCCCCTCTCCTTGTGTCTTACAACATTACAGCAAAAATAAATACATTTAAACCAAAAACTAAGTAAATTTAAACAACAATAATTCACTCAATACACAAAAACATTGTATCCATGCTTAATGTGCATGTCCACCCCCTCCTCTTCTTGCTGGAGCATGTTTCAGATGTTCCGCTGCATGTCTTCGGACAGCATCTTCCGTTGCCTCTGTAAATGATTTCAAGACAGCGTCTGTAAAAGTTAAAAGACAAAGTGCATAAGCAATCTGAAAGCCATGTACCATGAGCACACCACCTTACTCGATTATACCTATAATATAATGAAAATCTACATACACTGATCAGGCATAACATTATGAACATTATGAGCACTGACAGGTGAAGTGAATAACACTGATTATCACTTCATCATGGCACCTGTTAGTGGGTGGAATAGATTAGGGAGCAAGTGAACATTTTATTCTTAAAGTTAGAAAGCAGGAAAAATGGGCAAGTGTAAGAATTTGAGCGAGTTTGACAAGAACTAAATTATGATGGCTAGATGACTGGGTCAGAGCATCTCCAAAACTGCAGCTCTTGTGGGGTGTTCCTGGTCTGCAGTGGAGCTCCGTGAAGCTGGCCACCATACAAATGGCACAATTAAAAATACCCTTGTTGTTTACTGCCATCTTTGTGCTGTAAATATTAAGATTTGTGCTGCTTTCGTTTTGGAGATAGTTATTTGTATTCATTCAATAACATTACCCAGCCCCCTCAAAATAGAGTATCAACAATAAACCAGGCTAGTTTGTTGGTGCTGCTCCTTTGTACCTGTTTGTGCCCCAGTAATTACTTTTAGATTTGAAGATAATTAGTTTTTTTAAAAGATCATAATTCACCCAGCCCCTCTACAAGAGCATACAGCGAGTTGGGTCATTAGTGCCGCATTTGTGCTGTAAAAATGGCCATTTCTGCTGCTTTGAGTTTTAAGATAATATTTTTATGATGACATAAAAATGTAGATGGTGGATGGTTAATGATTTTTGCGGCACTAACAAACCAACCCGATTTATATAAGACACTGCACAATTAAAAGGGGTAAATGTTCTATAGTCTGATAGTATCATAAATATTCTACACTAATTCCCAATAACTCCATTCTGCAAGTCTGAATTTCTATTGGTTCAATAACTGAAATTAATCAATTGCCAATGGAGAGGGGGGGAACATTCCCTCCCCACACAGCGGCTTACTACGAACTTAACTTGCCTTGTATTGCTTGATAGATTGTAGTTTTCTCAAGGGATATTTTGTCCTTCTTCCCCTTTCCCTTCATGTTGAAGCAGGCCATCAAAGAATTGGAGAAGAGCCTGAAGAAAGACAAATATGTTTTAAAAATTTAGTCATACTTTTGATTTTACGACCCAATAACATTTGTATTGATCACTGAATTGTCTTAAGACATGAAAAACAGTGTAAAGAAATTGGTAGCACATACCGGTCAAGAACTTTGTGGACACAGTCCTTGAGGTCTTTCCCTCCAACCCGAGATAGTTGCTGCACCTGTGGAGAAAAAAAAAGAAAGAAAAATATTTTACAGACTCCCTTAAAGAATGAAACTACAGGCAGTAAGAGTTTGTTTCCTTCATTTACAATTAACAATCCTGGAATTATTCTGAGAACTATATGTAATTGGGTGTAATGACATTTCAGCATCAGTTGGCATGAAAAGGTTTCAATCCTTTGTCAATATAACATTTCTATAATTTGTATGGATCAAGACATTCCTAAAGTTAAACTATACTGTGAATAGCTGCATTTAAAATACACATTTTATACATAATTTCCTCATAATGCATTAGGGTACCTATTCCTTGCTATGCTGAAAACACCAGGCTCTGATTTAAAACTGTGAGCACTCTGCAAACACAGCATTCAACTCATTATGCCATGCTTACTTGTGCACACAGTACATATACAGTATATATCATTTTTGAGACTGATGGAAATCCTACCAAGGTTTCAAAGGCTTCCTTGTCACCCATGTGTTGCTCAACTCTCTGAAAGTCCTCCATGGTCTCCAACCTCTCAATGCGGGTGGCTGAAAGGGCAGGTTCCCTTTGGTGAAGGCTTTTAATCTCCAAGTGGATGTCAATTAACTTGGCAAGCACCTTTTTCTGAAATTCTGAAATCAACAAAAATTTGCTGAGGTATTATTAGGCTTGGCACATATTTGTAAATACTACTACTGTGCCAAAAAAGATACTACCACAGGTTTAAGATGTGATGTTCAATTCAGTATTGCCATATTTGACATTCATCAAATATGTTCAACTTACTTGCTGTGGCCATTGGGAAATTGTCCTCCGTTCCTGCCACTACAGCATCTGAAAAAAATGTGTTAAACAAATTTGTGTCTTGTGATAAGGTTATCCTGTATCTTACAATAAATACTTTTATTGTAAAAAGACAGGGTACTGTAGCATTAACACTCACTTGCACTATCCCTGGGCCTCATCACATCATGCCTGGAACCGCCACTGGAGCCAACATGGTCATGCCTGGAGTCATCGCTGTGCCTGGACCTATAACCGAGTCTGGATCCATCATTATGCCTGGATTGTTCCCTGTACCAGGAGCCATTGCTGTGTTGGGACCTGTCGCTGTGCCCAGAAACATGGCTGTGCCTAGAGCTGCTGCTGTGCCTAGAATGTACACGGTCCCTATATTTAATAAAATATTGTTATTTCCTTTTTTTGTAATTGTACATGGTGCTCTTGCTTATCCTAGACTGACACTGTGCCCTGACCTGTCAATGTCCCTGGGTTTAGGATCTCTGATTCTCTTTGGAGTTGCATGTCGAGGGGCTGGAAAACACAGAGAATGTTCAAAGATTTCACATATGGGGATGAAATAGGCAGTGTAATAAGAGCCTAAACTCTGTTGCCCAGATTTCCCCTGAAACTGTATGCAAACTAACTCTGATATAGGCCAGCTCTTTACGATACCACTCTGCATCAGGCCACAATATTAAATTCAGTACAATGAATGTAAACGTACCAAGTAGCTGCATTCACGACAACTCAAGAACTACAAAATTCTACATAGTTCCTTTCAGAAAAAATGGATTACTAATACTCACAAGTTAAATTGACATTGGATCCAGCTGTGTTGTTCTGTACGAGCTGCAACTTCGTTGGTGGCTTTGGAAAAGGGGGTAATTTGCCACCTATACAATTTGACATGAAAAAGCAAATATGTTTAAAACAAGACAACCCTGTGTGTACTACAGCATTAAACTCATCAGTATTAAGTGTAGTGTCTAGGAACATTTACCCATTCTGCTCTCCTCCTCCCCCTGTTCCATATCATCAAAATCTATGAACAGTTCAAAATATGGTAAATAAAACAATATGGTCGGAACCCAGAGCACTGTTTTCAATTAATACATATTCAAATTCAGGAATATGAAAAATTAAAAACACACCAACAACAAAATTGTCAAACTTTCTTTTGGATATTTTCCTCTTTTTTCCGACCATTCTGTCCTCTGCCTCCTCAGGCTGGCTGGTTAAATTATAGTCCTCACATTCCTGCAAGTTAGCTAAAAACATACAATTCAAACTCAAAGAATTTCATCCACAATTATTTTTGCTGACTGCTGAGCATAAACCATTTGGTAGTCAAGATATACCTGAAGTAATTTTCATCTTTATTAATGGGAAAGACAGCCAGTTATCCTCAGGGTCCTTCTTCTTGTTAAAAGCTTCAATTTGTTTATTTGGTGGCCATCTGATAGTGTTGTTTTGGGTGTTGAGCCAATTAAGAGGCACTGTGCCCTCCATCTCTTTCCCATCCTCATTCCACACAGCCCTGGCGAACATTATCTGGAAAGGAGAATATAAATTTTACTTTAGTGTTAAAACAGTCATTTAACCAAAGCAACTTGAAGCAAGTAAACTCGCAGTAGCAGCAAAGCTCAATTTGACCTTTTCAATATGTGGGCTGTTCAATGCCATGTCGAAGTGGTAGTAGCACATGCCCAGTTTCTTGTGGGAGGACAACTACTTTCCTGAACAAGTCTCTCTTATGTACAAGTCGTCTTTTCATGTTTTCTGTATGTTTCTTTGAAAGGTACACTATGTTTAGAAGTGAAGAGCTGCATGGCTGCTGAAAGTAGGAGGCTGTATGATGTCTATCCAAGGTTTCACAAAGAAGCGACCCATCCGTGTTCGTCTCACACACAAAAACAAAACTGTTGTCCTTTAAGAGGAAACAGCGATCCTTTGGTTTGGAGGAAATAACTGGGTGGATGGTGCGCAGTGTCCCAATCCCATGGACATGCTCAATTTCAGACAATCGCCTGGTCACTTGTTCAGCAGGACTTCTCCCATTCCTCACATGCTTCTTCAGACATTGAAGATAATTTTCAAAGGGAAAACATGAAATGTCATTGAGCGATCTGTTGAACTGTGCAACATCTTCATGGAGATGAAGGAGTCCATGAACATTGTAAACACAGAATGTGTGACCATAGAGAACAGTGCAAGATGCAACAAAGTGCTTCATGAGATCATGTGCAAACTGAAGATACGAGTTCCGTATTGCATTGTCCGACTCAAGCATGATGGACATGGCCACAGTCAACGTCAAGAAATGGTTGTACCTTTCAGGACTCAGGACATTTCTTAGTACAACAGGACCAGTGTAAAGCAGAAACTGCCTTAACTCTGTGGCTTTCCAGCGCTCCAGTTCATCTAAGCCACGTGGTTGCCTAGCAAATTCACTTGGCATCTTTCCTCGGAGTGCCCCGAGTCTCACAGATATTTCATGCTTCTGCTTCACTGACAGATGGCAAAGTCTGGGGCCACGTGTCAAGAATGTCATTAAACGCCTAACTACACCCAAGCACACTATATGCATATAATCTAGAACAAATCCAGTCACACATGGTATTCCTACATCAATGAGCGGGGTAATACCAGTCTGGTGTTCTGTATACTGCAGCCTGTTGAAGGCTTGGTCAGTCCGAGGAGTGCAGAACTACTCTTCCTTCTATAAATTGACCTCTAATTGTGCACCTTTCACAACTCTCATACGAGTTATGACTCTTGATTGATTTTAAGTATGCCCTTGCTGGAGCATCACACACTACTGCTTCTATATGCACTGAATACAAATTCCCATTGTGCATTATGCCAGTCTGCTTAAGATGTTTGTACTCTGACAAAAAATCCTTTAGATACTCCCCAAGGGGGGTAGGCTTTGTCCCACCGCTAAAAATTGCTACTGTAAATGGATCAAAATGGCCAAACATTGCTAATATCGGCCAAAACTGCAGACTACTGCTTCTGAAAAGTGGAATCCCATCAATGTTAATCCTTAGATGTACACTATTGCCCTGCACCTTACTTAGTAAGTGACAAATACCCTTTTCCAGGCCATAGTACATGTACTGACCACCACATTTTGCCTCAGTTAATTTTGCTCGTGATGTAGCCAACAGTGTCCTGGAATCTACTGGCAACAGGTGCCCCTGCTTCCGCAGTATGGCTAGTAACTCATTGACAGACTTGTGTGTTTCTCTGTTCTTTACAGCCCATTGTCTCAAGTCATTTTCAAGGGTCACAGTCTGTCCAGATTCACCATTTGTTTGTTCTTCTGAGTCTGCAGAATCATTGCAAATATTGGGGCAGGAATCAAAACTAGGCCTTTTACTATTCACAGGCACATCGTCACAGTCACTATCAAATCTAGTTCCAGGTACATTGTCAGTGTCTCTGTCAAGTTCACTTATAGTCCCAGGCACATGCTCACTGTCACTGTCCAAACTGTCAGAATCTTGAAGAAGATGGTCCAACTCTCTCCTCCTTTTTCTCCACAATCTCAAGTACGCCATCTAAAACAGAGTTAAACTACATCAATTTACACTTAACTATAGCCTATGTATATGGAACTCCAAAGTGTTCAAAAGTAATATGAAATATATGAGAATGATATTGTGAAATACAGCTTATTATTGTGAAATATATTGCATTCTGTTATATGAATTTACTTATTATTAGAGCTGGGGGATATGGAAAAAAAAAATTATCACAATATTTATTCCTGTATTGACCGATATCGATAATTATCAATATTATAGTTTCACAATGCTGTTCCATGTAATAATCAAAATAATAAAAATAACCCTATTCTGACAAATAGAATGAATACATTGAAATAAACAATAGTAGTAAACAAATACTTATTTTCCAACAAATTTTACTGATTACATACAAAATTCCTTTAAAATTATAAAAGCTTATTGATTGTCAAGTATTCAAAGAAACATAGCTCAAATGAACAAAACCATATGATATAATAATGTAACAATGTGCAAAACTGTATAATATTGCAAATATGTTAAAGGGCAAACATAAAATAAAGCAGGACGGAACTGATTGCAACAAGTATCTTCCTCTATTCTTTGTCTCTTAAAAACTTTTTTAAATTCTGAGGTAGAAAAGTATCTAAAACAAACAAAAAACGCTTATTCAAAAAAATGCCAAATTATGGTTAGACTTTTTTGTCCGGCGCTGCAAAACGTCACCACGCATCACCATGTTACATGGTACAAAATCCTCGCGAGAGCAAAACGATTTGAGACACACCGTGCAGCACAAACTGGAACCGCCTCCGTGACGACACAACTTTGCCCTTATTGGCTGAAGATTTTAGTCAC